CGCGCGCGCACGCACACACACACACACACACACAAAACAGCTGGGGAGGAAACCTTCTGAGTTCAGCTGAGCATTCTCCTAACAAGCAATTGAAACAAAGCTTGCAGCTCCCAGGCTGGACATCTGACCATAGGCAGCAGGATGGTGGGTGCGAATTGTGTCTTGAAAAACAAGTGTACGCTCTCAAAGAACAGTTAAAGTTAAATCTGCCTACTTTTGAATGAGGAAGTCTGGCTGGCTGCAAAATGGAGTAACCATCCATGAAACTCTCGTCTCTATGCATGCCCAGATGTGCATGGTTAGCAAAGCATGCTCCCTTCAACCCCAAGCTTCCTCTCTCCCTGGACTCCTCTTATTAAGATTGCGCAAGCCAACCGTGATAGACTTCCCCACCTTGCTGGCTGGATCCAGCATAAGCTAACAAATGTACTGCAACGCGCAGCTACTCCGTGAACAGATTGTGAGAATAAAATATTCAATTTCCACCGAACCCTCGTTTTAATGGGCCCTAACTGGCAACGTTCAGCTGGCAGACCGTGTGGCCACCACGGTCAGCTCAGCCATGCCTGTTCCTCCCTGGGGGATGAGGAATGACCCATGGGGTGTGGAACAAGTGGGTCCCTCGGACGTGGGTGCCAGGTTCAGGCCCTTTTGCCTTCTCAACCTCTCTCTGGGCTGCAGAGCAGACCTTAAAAATAGCATCAGCTCCTGGGATGGAAAGCTACATTTTGCCCTGGCTGAAAAATATACCAAGGAGGCACTGAAATTTAAGAGGGTAGGGCAGTGGTGGGATTCAGCCGGTTCACACCACTTCAGCAGAACAGGTAGCTAGTTTTTGTTGCCCAGGCCCAGAATGGACTTCTGGAAGCGGCATCCACACAGAGAACCGGTTGTTCACATATTTGAATCCCACCATTGGGGTAGGGGGCAACGAAGGCCTAGGAAAATAAAAAATGGACACGGAGGCAGGCAGTTGACACTCCCTTTGGCATCAAGAGTCACAAGGATTCCCATTTAAAGCAGATTGTTTAAAAAGCTTTTTTTTGGGGGGGAGGGTTTCCAGCATTAGGAAAGCCACAATAGAAGATGGTGATTAAATCATATGAACAGTTGATCATCTGGACCAGCTTTATGAGAGATCAAAGGGCTGGGTGTTAGTGGCAGGGCCTTCTTAGCTGTAGCACCCCCCCCATTTTAGAGGCCTTGGGCCTCTAATCTCCTTGTCATCCAATAAGTGACCCCAATTGGCACCGCCATTCAACTTGTGACAATGGGCAGCAAAGTTTCCATCGCTCAGCGAGGCGGTTCTTAAGACAGAGGCGCATGCCCCAGTACACTACCCTTTCTGCTACCGCCGTTAAGTGAATCTTTGCAGCTGTTAAGTGAATCTCCCCTAGGCAGGGAGTGAACCTGGCTTGCCCCATTGACTTGGTTTGTAAGAAGCTGGCGGGGAAGGCCAGAAACGGAGACCTTGTGACTTCGGATGCTGCAACCCTTGTAAATACACCCTAGTCACCATGTGCCCGAATTTTGATCACGTGACCCTGGGCTGCCGCGATGGTTGTAAATGCGAGAACTGGCCATCAGTCCCTGGTTCCTTGGAAAGGTCGTTCAATGAACAGTTGCAACTCGGGAACTGCCTATGTGTAGTTCAGCTGCCTTTTTTTTTCTTTTAAAGCAAAGCATTTTAATCATTGCAGTTCATGGCCATTTGTTTCTGAGTTACGCCTGTTTTTAATACTGTGCCATCATTCATGAAGGCGCTGCTTGATCTGTTCTTTTTGGCAAATTCTGGATTTTTTTTGGTCTTATTTAATCGCCCTCCTTTTTATCTTCATGGCTACCAGCTGCTGGGAAAGATCACGAGAAGGATGTGGCTTTTCCCCTTCTGCAATTATTAGGTTCTCCCACAGCTCACATTGGCAACCAAAAGGTCGGATAAGCTAGACTTGCGGTCCAGTTTTTGCAAAGATATAAAACTCCACCCCAGACTCCCAATTATGAGACGGTTGCAGGGGGACCTGGAAGAGCCATGGGGGAAACAGTAATCCTTGACTTACAATAGTTTGTTAAGTGACTGTTCCAAGTTGCAACGGCACTGAAAAAAGTACCATTTGTCTGAAATGGCATAGGGTTTCCTGCCTGAGCAGGGGGTTGGACTAGAAGACCTCCAAGGTCCCTTCCAGCTCTGTTATTCTGTTGTTCTATTCTTCCTTCCTTCCTTCCTCCCTCCCTCCCTCCCTCCATCACTGGAGGTTTATAAGAAGAGACTGGACAACCATTTGTCAAGCTTGAGCAGAGGGCTGGACTAGAAGATCTCCAAGGTCCCTTCCAGCTCTGCTATTCTGTTGTTCTATTCTTCCTTCCTTCCTTCCTCCCTCCCTCCCTCCCTCCATCACTGGAGGTTTTTAAGAAGAGACTGGACAACCATTTGTCAAGCTTGAGCAGAGGGCTGGACTAGAAGACCTCCAAGGTCCCTTCCAGCTCTGCTATTCTGTTGTTCTATTCTTTTTTCCCTTCCTTCCTTCCTTCCTTCCTTCCTTCCTTCCTTCCTTCCTTCCTTCCTTCCCTCCCTCCCTCCCTCCCTCCCCCCCTGGAGGTTTTTAAGAAGAGACTGGACAACCAGTTTTTAAAGCTTGAGCAGAGGGCTGGACTAGAAGACCTTCAAGGTCCCTTCCAACTCTGTTGTTATATTATTATTATTATTATTATTATTATTATTATTATTATTATTATTATTATTATTATTATTATTATTATTATTATTATTATTATTATTGATCATCACACAGTCAGCCAGATGTTCAGACTGGATTTGGCCTTTTTGTCTACCTATCAAGTGGGATAGGCAGATGTGGACATTTGAATTGATGGTATTACAGATATCATCGCAGGATGGAAGCTGTTATTCTTGTTGTTGTTGTTGTTGTTGTTGTTGTTGTGTCTTATGACCGTTTTTCACACTTATGACCATTGCAGCATCCCCAGGGTCACAGGATCCAAATTCAGATGCTTGGAGACTGACTCGTATTTATGATGGTCGCAGGGTTCCGGGGTCAAGTGATCCCCTTTTGCGACCTTCTGCCAAGCGAAGCCAGATTCACTTAACAATCGTGTTGCTAATTTAACAACTGTAGTGATTCGTTTAACAACGGTGGCAAGAAAAGTTGTAAAACCGGGCAAAGCTCTCTTAACAAATGTCTCACTTAACGACAAACGTTTTGGGCCTCGTTTGTGGTCGTAAGGTGAGGACTGCCTGTAAAGATACCCAGAGAGATGACGTGCATCCATACCGCAAAGTTATAGGTGCCTTTAAAAGTGTGTTGACTGTCATCAAGGAGGTTGTGTAGCTTTGGGAAATTTACACAACCTGTTTGACCGGAGCAGAACAAATGCAAAATAGCAACTGCGTGAATTAAACAGCGCAGGTACTCAACTTGAAAGTGACCAAATGAAATGAAATTAAAAAATATATATATACTGGATTTCATCCCTAGTCAGAGCGCAAATGCCCTTTTAAGAAAGCTGCAGATGATAAGAAGCAGTGATGTAGCAGAGATGGACCAGGGTTTATATTCCAAGTTTTTATGCCTAGACTAGAGGGATCCAAAATAACTATTCAGAAAATGGGAAAATTGGGGAACGAATCCAGCCTCAGCGTCAGGGCTGGCCTGAATTGACGTAGCTTACTGCTAAAGCTTCCCTCTGGCCAACATCTGGGCTGGGCGAGAACCCAATTAGGAGATTTTATATTATATTTTTGAATTTTCTTTTTCAGAACCTCGGTTGAACTTTTTGTCTGGTCCATGTGTTTCTCTGAGAGCAAAACTCATGTATTCCTCTAGAACAGGGGTCTCCAAACTTAGCAACATTTAAGACTTGTGGACTTCAACTCCCAGAATTCCCCAGCTGGCATAGCATGACATCACTTCCTCCCCTTGAGCCTTCCAACTTGGTGTTCTCAAGGTTGGTATGGCATCAAGAGGAGGGGAATTATGTTGAGGTTTGAAGTTGATATCCTATTATTGCACCAAAGGAAGTTGGAAGTCAATGCCTTTTTTTCCTCTTTTTTTCTCCCTTACCTCACTTCTCTAACTCCCTTTCCCATCTTTTCCGCTATTTACTTGTGTATTTTCATTGTATCGTATATTATAAATTAATAAAACTTTTGAAAGGAAAGAGGAGGGGAATTATGGGAGTTGCAACTGGGAGGACCCCAGCTGAAGGACTCTAAATGGCATTTCCATCTGTCATCTCTTGCTATCTTCTGACTGTAGGACCATCCTTCTTTCTCCTGATTCCTGCCCATCAATTCTGCTAATGTCACACCTTGTCTCTTAGTCAACCCTTCCTTCTGTGGCTTAGCCAACTCTGGAGGGAAACTTTACACACACACACACACACACGGACACACAATCTCTACATGTTTGGAATTAAGAATGAAGTCTGAAAAGCCAACAGGGACTCAACTACAGCAGTCCTGACTGGTGACTTTATTCCTAAAGCTTTTGAAAAACAAACATCCCTTTTGAAAACAATCAGCAGGAACAAAACACCAGCCCTGTTTCATCCTTTTTCAGACATGACCTCGTAGCACGTCTTTTGACATCCCATCCTCTCATATATTTTTTTGGCACCCCTCCTTCTGATTCTCATGGCCTTTCATCCTTCTGGCTTTGAACCAGATGTGGAAAGGGCACCAAAGGAAAAGAGAGAGCTAAATTGAGATATTGCCAGCCAAAGGAGAAAAGCAGGAGAAGAAACAGGAATTCCAGGAAAACCAGCACTCCTAGTGAAAAACACCCTTGTAAATAAATGGAAGGGCTAGAAAATCCCACCGGATTCCACAGCTTTTTTCCCAGAGGAGCAGAGAAAATGTGAGAACTCAAGGCAAGCTTGTAAAATAAATAAATAAATACAGAGGTAGCCCGAAGCTTAAATTAGGTTTATCTTTTGCAACCCCCAACAAGGTAGAGGCCAACTTGGTTTGCAATGCCTACCTGTGACATTCACTTCCACCTGCCCAGATCGGGTGCCGATGGTGTTGGTGGCTTCACATATATACGTCGCCGACAGGCTGTATGTGACCGGTCCTTTGAAGAACAGAGTGCTGTTTTGAATTTCGGCACTGTCGGGCAGCGAGCTATTCAGCCTGTCAAAAACAGAACACAAAACCCTTGGACCATTAGCAGAAAGCTTGCCATCCGGCTAGCTAATTCTACAAGCAGCGGCTGGTTGAGTTCAACAGTCATTGGGTGTCTTGCTGTTGTGTTAAATTATTAACTAACATAGCTTAAACCCATCTGGAGGGCAATTCCTGATCAATGATGTAGTAGGATCTTGGGCTAACTATCTTCTCCTGCATGGGATTGGGTGAAGAGAGAGAAAATCGATGGGGTCCTAGGTGCTCTCTGAGCTAGGCTGTTTTCTTGCAGATGTTTTATGACTCAACTAGACAACATCTCCAACTCACAGCCTGGACACATCCCTTGGAAGCTATCAAGCTTCTAAAGTCTCTTCTCTGAAGTCCTCTTTGTTAACCAACAGAAGAGAATATTGGTAGCTCAGGGATGAACTGCGGAGTCTTTGGTGCTCTCTGAACATGGATTGTTTTCTTGCAGATGTTTCACGACCCAACTAGGTAATATCATCAGTGCTAGAAGGGAGTGGGTTTTGCTCTCTGTTTATATACAAGTGGCTTGCTCTGCCAGGGTTGATGCGAGTGTTGATTTTTTGCAGGGTCCTTGGTGCTCTCTGAGCTTGGTTGCTTTCCTGCAAGCTGGAAATATTCTCTTTTATTGGTGTGACAGAGATCATTTTGCAGCAACAGTGAGCAATACACGCCTGGGTGCAAAGGAAAAGCCTCCAGTTTTGCACAAGATCTCTTGTCACCTCCTAAAAACACCAACTGTTGGGGGAGGGGGCTGCCATCTTATTTCAGTGTTTCAAAAACATTTTAAATTATTAAGTTTTAGAAGAGAGGATCTTTTGGGACCTACAGCTGCCATGTTGCTAACCTCTGATATACAACTGCTTGATTTTTAAAAACAACAACAAAAGGATAGGATGAAAAAAACAAAATTAAATTAGTTCCCTGGCCCTAAAGAAGCGAGGGGGAGGGCCTTCTCTGTGGGTGCCCCCACCCTCTGGAACGAACTACCCCCCGAGATCCGGACGATCCCGGATCTCTTAACCTTCCGCCGCGCCCTCAAGACATGGCTTTTTCAGCAAGCGGGACTGACCTAGGGTGAATTTTAAATAGGGAAAATTTTTTAAAGATTTTAATAATGACACAGCCATAAATATATTT